ATAAAGTATTTATCGTGTCATTTTCACCAACTAGCAAAACATTTTTATAAGTTTAAAATGGTATTTTTTTAATATAATAACCAAGAAAGTTTTTTTTGAACTATGTTTATGAACGGAAATAATGTGTTAATTACGTTAAGTTTGAAGGCTAATAACCAGAAAAAGTCTAACTTATTTTTACAAAGAGAAAGATGCAAAGTTATAATATCTTTGCTTGCGATTTCCGAGATCTGTGGCCACAGTGACGTCATGAGGAGGGAAATCGTAGCTTCAACTCTAAGAGCGGAGTGAACTAGCCCTTCTATTCTCTTTAGCCCTGGACACCAGCAGGGGTCACCAAAAGTATGGCAATTTCGATATTTCTTCACATTGTTATAGTAATTTTACAATTGCCAAATATTTTTACTCAATGTATCAATTTTACTCTATGTGGGAAAATAGATAGCGGTAAGACAAAGAAGCAAGCAATATTAAAATAAATTAAAAGTCGATTCCTACTTAAGTCAAAAAAGAAAAATTTTATTTAATTTGCTATACTACAAATTATAACGATTGTGAACTAACAGTAGGAATTGAAAACACTTATTAATTAAATTTAATTAATGAATTAATATTTGAAAAAGAAAACTGTATTAACATCAAGTGTCAACTACAAGTTTAAAAAAATGTATTTGAATTTGAAAGGATGAATAAAATTTATGTCATTAACGATTGAAAATTTGAATAAAATAAATAAATATGTCTAGGGAGAATGTGAACTAATAATAGGAATTAAAAAACGGCATGTGAAACGACATTTTCGCCTTTAACCACCATAAAATAAAATCTAAAAAATATTGAGAGCTGCTTCGTTCTGCGATGTTAGCTATTTTGCCAGAATTTGATTATATAATTAAAAGTAAATCGACACACTCTTCTCTTTGATACTTAAGCTTTGCTGTTATATAGAAGTAAGCGAATTTTCTTAGTAATGTCCTTCCTAGTGACTACACAAAATGGACTTACAATAGAAAATTTTTGAATTTACCTAGTAGTAAATTTTATCTTTATCATTCTATTATATTATCAAGTTTATTACTTGTATAAAATTTCCCCACTGTTCTATGTCTTAAAGTTAATGACCTAAATCTAAAATAATATATTGCAGTTAAGTGAAGTAACTGACAGTAACCACGCATGTGTCGGATTTGGTAATGGGTCAAATCTTCGCGGCCGAAACTTCACTTGGACTAAACTTCGTGTGGACGAAACTTCAAATCGACAAAATTTCGTACAAACAAATTCTAAAATTAACAATTAACATTAAATTATAATTAGTTTTAATTGCAAATATGCAATTTATTATATAATTTAAATAAATTCAAATTCCTAGTTAACTTAATTTTAATAAAAGTAAAAATATTAAAATTAGTATTTTTTATTTATAATTAAGTAATTTTTAACATATAATGCTAAGCGTATACTTATTTGTGTACTTTAAATATATTTATTGATCAGTAGAAATTACGATCTGAATAAAAGCATATCATATCAAAAATGTTAAAATATTTATTAAAATTTATAATTTATTATTAAAATTCATAATTTATTATTAAAAATTAATTTGCTTATTAGAGTGTTTAATCCGTTCGAGGAAATCGCTTGAAAAGTAAACTCAGTCCCCTCCCCAAAAAAACTTTTTAATTAAATCCTTGCATATTAAGTTCTACACTACGGTGAACTTTTATCAGTGAAGTTTCATACAGATCAGTGAAGTTTTGTAACCGCNTTTATTATTAAAATTTATAATTTATTATTAAAATTTATAATTTATTATTAAAATTTATAATTTATTATGAAAAATTAATTTGCTTATTAGAGTGTTTAATCCGTTCGAGGAAATCGCTTGGAAAGTAAACTCAGTCCCCTCCCCAAAAAAATTTTTAATTAAATCCTTGCATATTAAGTTTTACGCTACGGTGAACTTTTATCAGTGAAGTTTCATACAGATCAGTGAAGTTTTGTAACCGCAAAGTTAAGGATCAGTGAAGTTTTAGCCGTGAAGTTCTGACCTCGAACCGTCGGATTTGCATAATGCTTATGGGGTCCCAAAACCAAAAAAAAATTATTAAAGCCTGTATTATCGATTTAGTTGCTGTTAAATATGAGTGTTTTCTTTGGATATATTAATTCACTATTAGAAAGCACAATTTTTGCCAAAATAATAGTGTGAGGGAATGTCAAATTTATATCTTTTCATTGCTAATTTTTCAAAATTTTATATATATATATAAGGTCACCCTAAGGGACATCGCAAAAGTGACCTTATAAGAGGGGTGACCTTTTAACCGATTCATTAGCAGTTCGCAACTAAGCACGTAAATAGTACACATTATGATTTTTTAAAAATGGTAATACAAACGAAAACGATCAGCCATAAATTAAATATTTAAGTCAATAAATTTTAGTAGCGAATTAAAGAAAGTTAGATTTTTAAATTTTTTAAAATTAAAATAAAGCTGTTTACAAATTTCCTCAAAGTGTACATGCATACATTACATCTTACCTTATTTAAAATAATCATTTATGCAGGTCTGTCTCGTTTTTGGTTTCATTTTTCGAGCAATGCTTTCTAGATTGTGTAACCTCTCAAAATGTTCCTCAGCTCCATCATGGTTTGCAAAAAAATTTCGTATGACATTTGTTGCATTGAAGGCTTCCACTTGGGTTACAGCTACAATCCCAGGATCACTGTCCACAACTTGTGAAACAATTTCAGAAATTGTAGCTTGTTCGTTGGCTGCAACATTTTCGTAGAACTCGAGAGGGGTAATTGCCTTGTAAGGAAGTTAAATAGGCTTTTGTTAGAGAAGAGCTCCCCTCGCCTCAGATAAAAATGACCTTATAAGCGATAACGATTTTTAAAACTTGACCATATATCCAGTGGCCCCCATCCCCCCCAAGCTCTTGGGCACATTCATCCCGCCCCCCCCCCCAAAAAAATTTGCTAACTTCCCCCTTCCATGTTAACTTGTTCGAAATAGTGCTACGTTGCTTCTTTCATTTACGTACTTAAAAAAAAAATTCTCTCGTCTAAATTCCTTCCCCCAAACTATTCGTTTTATTTAGTGTAAAAATTCCCCCCCCCCAAGCTTTAAGTGGGCGCATCGTGCGCCCACCTTCCCCCCTGATGGGGGCCCCTGCATATATCCGATAATCTGTAACAAAGAATTCCTATTCAGTGAGCCGGGACATTGGAAAAGTGACCTTATATGGGGGGTGACGTTATATGCGGATGACCTTATATCGAGTTCTGACTGTATATATAGTTATATATATATATATATATCATTAAATAAAATTTGAAATTATATGTATACATATATATATGCATGTTCATATTTAGTTGAAATTTCTTCAGTTCTGCTCTGCTTAGATAGAACAGTTCAAACATTAAAATCTAAATCCATTAAGTGAACCACTTAAATATTTAAATATTAGAGAGTCAAAATGGAAAACTAATGCAGCAATAACATCAAAATAAAATGAAACGACAGTTTGACGATTTTTCTAACTTGAAAAACAGTTATGTCTGATGTTAAGTTTAATATGAGTTGACTAGTTGAAGTTAGTATTAAGTAGAATGCACAAAATTGATATATAACGCAGCAATACGGTCAAATTTTAAAAAGATGAATACAACTTGTAAAAGAATTAAGTGAAGTAAATTTAGTAATTGGCTGTTTTTCCCATTTTAAAAAGAGTTAAGATTGATGCTAACATTAGGATGAACAGACTAGATAAATTCGAGTCAAATTTAAGTAAAAATAAAGAAAGTTGTTACATAACGCAGCAATATGGTCAAATTATAAAAGAATAAATATAAAGGCATAATTTTCAGTTCCAGTCTATATAAACTCCTATTTGTGAAAATGGCAACACCATGAAGGAATCGTCATAATTGAGTGAAATTTAATACACAGTTGAGTGGTAGTGGTACAAATAAATGATTAAACTTTCAAAGTAAACAAACAATAACAAGAGATAGAAATCAGTATTTTGTGTAACCACCACGCTCCGCAATAAGTACTGCTACACGACGTGGCATGGAGTCAAGCAAACTTTGAATGTCTGTCTGAGGAAGAGAATTCCATACTGTTTGTATGCGTACCCAAAGTTCGTCTGTAGAAGCAACAGGACGAGGATTACGAGCGAGACGCCGACCAACGAAATCCCACACATGTTCAATCGGTGACATATCCGGGGAATACGCTGGCCAAGGAAGAAGTTGTACATGTCGCGATACAAGGAAGGATTGAACAGTCCTAGCAATATGAGGGCGGGCATTGTCCTGTTGAAATACAGCACCTGGCAAGGCTTGAAGGAAGGGAACAGCTTGGGGCTGTAGGACTTCACTGATGTACCGGTTGCTGTTCAGATTGCCCACAATTCGCAGCAATTGAGATCGTCCATGATATGCTATGTCACCGCAGACCATAACCCTGGGTGTTCGTCCACTGTGGCGTTCGATAACACACTCCGGAAGATGGCGTTCACCGACATAGTGTCTGACACGAATGCGGCCATTATTGTACCACAAATTGAAGCGAGATTGGTCAGAAAACACGACACGCTGCCAATCAGCAAGCCAGTCCCTATGCTGGTTGGCCCATTGCAGCCGCAGGCGGTGAAGGTTTAGCGTGAGGGGGATCCTGTATAAAGGAGTCCTTGCGCGCAGTCCACGCTGCAGCAGACGTCTACGAATTGATAAAGCACACAATGAAACACCTGTAGCTATTGACCACCGTGCTGCCAGTTGTCTAGAGGGAGCCGTACGGTCCGTTAGCGCAACGCCGAACAGGTGTCTATCATCGCGAGCTGACGTGACATTTCGGGGTCCACTCCCGGATTTCCGAGTTGTCCGACACTCGTCCATCCACTGCTTTCAAACACGCATCACTGTGCTGCTGTTACGCTGCACACGAGCGGCTACTGCACGATAAGATAATCCAGCTTCACGAAGGCCGATGATTCTCCCCCGTTTAAACTCCGTAAGTTGTTGAAATCTCGCTCTCTTTCGTCGAATAGGCATAAGTAATGACTAAGCTAACGTTTACCACTAGCAGATAACCACCGATAACCATACTCGCTTGGCTACAGCCGTCTATTTATTCGGATCCATCCGCCGTTCAGAGGGCGCTGCTCAGCATACGCATGCGCTACGGGTCTGAAATTCTAATCATTTGCATATCATGCTCTACTTTGCATTTCCTGAAAATTTCAGCTCACTCGCGTAAGTCCTTCATGGTGTTGCAATTTTCACAAACATGAGTTTAGATAGAAGAGTTAAAAATTTAAAATCCATATCAATAAGTCAATTATTAAGAGATAAGAAAATTAGAGAATCAGAATTTAAACGCAACATATTATGCATGGTCAAATTATAAAAAAACAATCAGTCAAAAAATTGAACGAAAAGAAGTGAAAGTTTATCTATTTTTCCAATTTGAGAACGAGTTAAGTATACAGTTAAGTTTAATATGAGTTGAATATTTCAATTCAGGTCAATATTAGATAAAATGAAAAGAATTGTTATATAATACAGTAACATGGTCAAATTTTGTAAAGATAGATACAGTTTGTTAAAAATTGAATAAGGTAAATTGAGTATTTGACTGTTTTTGCAATTCTAATTAGTTTAATTTATGTTAAATTTCAGTAAAAATACAAAAGAAAACTGTAAGGCAATATAGCAATATAGTCAAATTGTAAATAATTAAAAACAACTGGCCTTTTTTTTTGAGAGTGTAAAATAAATTACACCATTCAGTTCTTGTCAATAATTAAAGGAAAGTACATATAAATTAAGTAGATGAAATTTCAAAAAGCGTTATCATAGTCTAAAATAAAGTTGTTTGAAAAAGAAAGCAACGGTTGATCTAATAAGAATATTCTCTTCTAACATTTTAAAATTACACATTTCGTTGAAATTAACGGCGCTAACATTCACTATGTGTTAAGTTTCGTTAAAGTAGGTATCCAAATTATCTATCTTTAAATCTCTGTAAATATTTTTGTTCAGCAAAAACCATGGCGCATTGGTAATTTTGTGAAAGTTTTTTCTTTTTTTTTTATCAGTTTGTCCAAGAGGGATTTATTGATATTTCCCCAGGTAGACGATGCATAAGTCATGATCGGCCTGATCAGTGATAAGTAAAGTAGATTCTTTAAGTTTAAGTCTAGATTAGGATTGTGAACTAGGCTTGAAGTTTATTTGTTGCAGTATGTACTTTGGATCTTACTTAAATTGTTCGTCCATGTCAATTTAGAGTTTAGGAATAGACCTAAATAGGTGGTGTAAGACTAACTTCAAACGTTAACTCAAATGTATTAACTTGCTTAAGATGTAGTTATTGTAAATGTTTATATGTTGTAAGTGCTTATAGATTTTAAATGAAATAAATGTAAATATGTAAAAGCTGTAAATAACTGTCCTTCATAACTGCAAGGAATATAGATTCTATATTTTTCGATGGATGGGATGATAAGGGGTGATATTTTATTGTAAACGCGGTTTATTTTTCTTTTGTGCACCTGGCAACTTCGATGCATACAAAGTCTGCTTATGCCCTTCATGGCTTCGTTCCTGTCTTTACGTTAAGTCTTTGTGTAAATATATAGAGGTAAAATTGAAATATTTTTGATAGATTTTTTGTGAAAGAATATAGGTTGTGCTACTTAAGAGAATTGGTACTTAAAGCGCTTGGCGTACTCGAAATAGAATGGGAGGAACAGTTGCTGACGTAAACAAATATCGCGTTTCAACAACCAATCATGATCGAGATACCCAAACTACGTCACTTGCAGGCATCCCATTGTCACAGTTTTGTTGGCGTTTCGTGATCGCCAAAGTATTTTCAATCCATACATTGATTATGAGGGGTTGGCTCTGTTTTGGCTGTGTTATATTTTGATAATTCGCAAATTTTGGATCTCCTATCATTCTTCTCCTGTGTCCGTTGCGAACAAATGCATTTACTTTCAATTTTAAAATTTGTGGAGACTGGGGGTGCCCTTGCAGGCCACCCAGACTCAACAGTTAAATATCATTTTGATGCTAACATAAACTCTCGATGTGGGAGAGTGCTTTGCATTGATCCCTTTGGGGGATTTTCTATCCAATATTATACTATTATATTATCCAATATTATACCTTATATTAAACTAATTCTTACTTTAATAAATCGATTTTTTGCGTAAAAGATTTTATTCATCTTTTCGGCCCACTCTACCACTCTACTCCATGTACTAGCAGCTAATGAACAATTAATGAAACTTAATAAATCCTAAATTCTTAATTTGTTTCAGAACTTTTCTCTTTTCTTCCTGTTCCTTATATTAAAGAGATTATAATTAGATTTAATTGACAATAATCCTTGGAAGTATTAAAAATTAAAAAAATTTCCTGAAACATATCTGTCAAAATTGAGTTGAGTAATCAAGATACTTAATTTTTTTTTTTTATCACATACAGGTAGGTAATTTAAAAACCTTGCAACCATCAGCCTAAAGAACTCATTGAAATTTAACGAACCACAACTGAGAAAGGCTGATTTTCAGATTGCTCGATGGAACAGTTTTTCTTTTACTTCCTCTCATTTTTTTCTCGTTAAGGGATATTAAAATTTTACTAACTTTTTTCCTTACTTAAATAATAGTAAAAATTTCAAGTTTCTTAGGGAGATTAAATTGGTTTTGATGTATTTAATTCTACTCTTTTCGATAGTGATTCTTGATAACACTCAATTAGATGTTTATTAACGGCATTAAATATACCAACTTTTTTCCGTGTCTTGCATGGATTCTAAAAATATATATCAAAGGGGATAATTACAAAAATTCATATTTTTTATGCTCCCCTTGCCATTGGGTCAACTGTGGGAGGTTTTCATGGTTTTCTATCAATGTCTCTAGTTCTTTAAAAAAAAAAATTCACCCATGAAGGCTTGCTCCTCCCAATGCTTGATCCAGAAGTTCCCTTGGCTTCTGGATTGTGATTATTCTAATTTGGAAAAATCGGTAATGTTACAACTTCAAGTAATAAATTTACACTTTTAAACGCAAACAGTAAATGATATAGTTAGAAATATAGCGTTTAATAGAGGATTTAAAGAAATGAAATAGTCTAGACTCTAGACATTTACACATTAATTTTTTTTGAACTTCTATTCTTATTCTGTTATGAAAAAGGTTTTAGAACATGTTAGACATTTCGGAAATAAATCCTTCAAAATACAAAGATCAAAGTATAACCAAATTTACCTGATGTCTTCTGGTATGTATCTCTTACCCTATTATATCTGAAAGTATTTTTATTTCGAGACAAATGAGTATAAACTTACAGCATTACTCTCTTACACAATCAAAACCATTTTTGTCGACAACTAACTATAGATTTTATAACTATCTGGAAGGGAATTTTCAGATCAGATTTGTGATAATTCTAAGCCTCGTATTTTTCCCTATATTTCAAACTATAGTCACGTTTTATCGTGATGTCTATTGTTAAGCGGTATGAAACATTAGATAGGAAAATCGAATTCGTGCAAAGAAGGATTAGTTATGTAAGGTGATTCCACAAAATACATGTTAAACTAAATACTACAAGATTGATTTGAAATAAGCTGTTATGTTAATTTTTATACTTTTAAGGCATAATTTTTCCTAATTAAATCCATTTTTCGATTATTTTCAATTTCTTAAGCAAATTTTAAATTTACCTAACAGTCACTCACCTGGGCTGTCCGAAATTTTTTATTTACTTATTAAATTCATTTAAAATTTTCGCTCACAAAAGTTATTCAATAATTAAAGTATATTAAAAAACTATGTTTACTTAAAGGTGTTAAATAATATTTTTGGTACTGTTTTATCATTTAACTCATTAAGTTGTATAATTTAAAAATTTATCTAGTAAAAGGACATCACTAAACCTAAATCTGACTTTAAAACTTTTCAGCATGTATAAAAGAAATTGAACGCTCCTACAACATTTCTATTACACACAAAACATTTTTTTAAAAAGTAATAGGGGAAGCCCGGGTAAGATGAACAGCTTAAGGAAACTTGGTTTGAAAAATAGTAAACTAGAGCAATTTTATATATTTTATATTGTAAATATATGGTGGGAACAATTCTCTTACATATCTCGTACAGAAAATAAATAAATAATAAAGTTCAATAATAATAACTTAACATAAACAAAAATAGAACATCGTCCCATCTTGCCCGGGCTACCCGGGCAAGATGAGACACATAATTACATTTCAAAAATCAGAGAAATTAATGTCAGAATAAAATAATAATCGACATAAACCGTTCCTAAACATCACAGTTACTTCATAAGAAGCGGCCAAAACCGGAATAAGCACTGTACGCTTCATGAGCACATTCTAAGCAATCTGAACATTGAATCCAGTCTTCAGTAACAGTATGTTATATTTGCTAGTAGGGGAGAGTCGGGTAGCCAGTGGCGTGCCAACTTTTTTTTGACTGGGGGGGCGAGCCAATGCAAAGTCATAAGCTTTGCTTGATTTAATATTTTAAAGTTAGTTGTATTATTTTAATATTGTAATTTGTCTAATTGTAATTATCTAAACTATTTCCGTTGTTTATGACGACGATGATTTAACTATTACATCCACACCAATTTAGTTAACAAAAAATGATTTATCAATCCGAAACTAATTAAAAAGAAAAAAAGTGTATTAAAATGTAAAAAATTTAATTAATGAATTTTGTAATTTTACTCCTTNCATATAACATTCAAATTTGAAGCAATAAAATAATAATCTTTGCAACCGTACATTTATCGAAGTAAAATTGGGCGGTGATACCTGATACCCGACATTCATGTGAGCGGGGCTACCCAAAATTTTTTTGTAAATTTGTAATTACTCGAACAATTTTTCACATATAAACTCTTCTTTCTTTGTGCAAATTAAACTTAAGACTACATACTCCAATACTATATGTATAGAAAAAATTATTTTTTTAGTATTAAAATGAAGTTTAATCGAAACATTCAACCAATTTTTCTTAATTTCATGACTACTGTATTCAACATATTTTCAAAACTATTGTTTACCATGTTGCCAGCTGCATAAATACTTGAAACTTTGAAAAAAAATCGTTTTTTAATATAACAATTAATGTCCGATGGCCCATTGACTTGAAAAAATATTCTATACATGTGAAAGTGACAGTGGGCGGTGTACCCGACACTCCTCTACTTCCCAAACGGACTAAATTCTAGTAATATTTAGGATCAGTGACATAATGTGATGATTCCCGTAAAAAACTTCCTTTAACCTAAATATATCTTTAGAACTTTGTGGCAGAAATAATATTTAAAAAGTGTCACTACCCTGACATGCTAAAAACGTCTCATTTAGCATTTTCTCAGCGTGAGGGTGAACGAACCAAATAGCTAAGGTGAGTTCCCAGTATTTTTCTCGTGTTAAATACTTCATAAAGATTAAGTATGAATTCTTAAATTACTACAGTTTTTTAAGAGTTTGTGATTTGAAAATGTCAAGTTTCTGATAAATCCTCCATTAACTATTAATGAAATCATAATACGCCTTATTCAAAGGATTTGCTGATTAAAGTAACATTCTATATTTTGAAATGGAAAGTTCCTAAGTCTCTTCATTTGAGAGTTCTAAAAATGCCCTTACCCCTTTCTTGCGCAGAAAATTTTGTTTGAAAATTTAATGCAAGCTGCACATTAACAAAGCAAATGCTACCATAAATCATGAACAATAAGTAAAGAATCTATGTTGTCGAAAGAATTGTTTTTGCTTAAAAAAACACTGCATGTTGAGAAGTAAAGAGTTTTGCATTTCAAGTATCTTGTATTATTTTTTGATAAATGTTGCCAGACTGAGCACACTGAACCAGCAAGGATCAAAGAGATCACATGAAAATTTTGAAAAAGTTCAGGTTCTTATACATAAAAATATTACAGTTTATTTCACATGATGAAGAAATTGTTTGCTTTTATTACAGTTTTATTAGCTCGATTTATGACTGTGAGAGAAATCGTGAATTATAATTTCGACATTTTTCCTATTATCTAGAGCACTCAAATCTTCACTGAAACTCCAAGCTTGATTGTAACGTACTTTTAATTACTTTTTTGCCGATACAAGTAGAATTTATCGCCAATTTATAGCCAAATAAAATGTATTTTTAATCAAAATTTTTATCATTTTCTGACTTTCTAGTAAGCACAAATTGCAACTGCATCTCAATATTTTATGAAGACTGAAGTTTCAATCATTTTTTGTCCACTACGATCAAATCCTTTTAATCACTAAATAGAGTTTATCACAAAAAAAATCCAAACTCTTTTCAGGCAACTAGAGTGCAAAAATCCTAGTTCTGTGGCTTATGGCAAAACTAGTTTCATTATTTCCTAATCAAATTTTATCAATATATTATCAAGGCAAAGAACTTATTGTTCTACAAAATTGCAACAACTTTTAGACTAGCTACTATTTCCAAAACGTCATTAAAGCTCTTTGATGGATGACAACACAAATTTCAGTCGTTTTTTGACTACTATAAGCAGAATTTGAATTGAATTCATCGAATGAATTTTTCATCCTAACTAGAGTGCTGAAATTTCAACTGGAGCTCTATGCATGATGTCAGTACAATGCATAATGCCAAACATATAAAAAAAATTTCAATCAAAAACAATTTAAAAATACTTTATTATTTTTGTACCTATTTCTTAAGCCTATTTTCTTAAACTATTTTGATTTTCAAGAAATCTTTATTTTCATTTATTTTCAATTACAAAATACAAAATTTGAACAAAATAGGATGAATAGTTTTGAGTTACAATATTTTAAAAAAACTGCGTTTTTAAATTTTTATTTCTCCTTTAGTGTCCCTGCTTTAACTACACCATAAGAGTCTCTTAGTTTATGAGTTTAGTTTATGAATTAATTTAGATAGTTCATGAATTAATTTTAGCATTTAGCATATGTTTATAGACTGATGTTTTAAGCACATGTTTATAGATGTTATATAGAGGACCCTTTTTTGCAGCATTTCTTCCAGGCAAAGACATCGAACTCTACCATTTTAGAAATATTGTAACATAAAATATCAATCGTTTGAAGCTTTCTAAAAATTACCTTTCACTTCTCGTCAATGGTATCTGCTACTTTTTAAAACTTGAAAATCGGGTCCTACGCTTTCGATTTGAATTACATGATTCAGCCACAATGATTATTTTCTAAGTTCATCAAATGAGTCACCAAAATCTTTAGAGTCTTTTTTTTTATTTCATTAAAAGCTTTTATACTCTCTTTTTCAACAAATTAGGTGATTTCCCTTTGTAAAATAATTCGCTGAAATTTCCGAAATAAGTCTGAAACTAGAAAAGAAATTCAAAATCTACTCCTGTGATAAAATTCTCAAGCCCTGAATATTCAGTGCCGGCTGAAGACGTTCTCGCGCCTCGGGCTATACTGAAAACGGCGACCTTTACTCAATTTTGGAGGGGGGGGGGACTTAATTTTAAAGGAAGATTTTTTTTTTTCTTCGAATCGTCTCGCAGACGTAGTCTTAACTCTGTTGAAAAAAATTGCTTTTTGTATTTCTAATTACAATACTTCCACCAGAAAATTATAAAATCTATATCAATCTTGATCAATGTTGATTTAAGAAACACATCAACTAAACAAATAACAATGAGAATAAAAATTCTCAATATTTTTTACCCCTTGCATTTTTTTTCTTTTTTTTTCATAATTGTTAGGAGATCATTTCCCAGCCCTAATTTAAAATCTAAAAATTCATGAAATGAATAATTTCGAGAGCATTAAATTTAAGTCTCGTTCGCCGGGTGATGGGGGGGGCAATTTTCCTTTGTTTTATCTTCATTTTGAACTTATCTAATGAGTTCTGTTTATTGCAGCTTATGCGCAATAATTGAAACTTATTGTTTCTCTTAATTTTCTTCGTGTCTTTTTGTATTTATTTATTTTGTCATATATATGTATATATATATTCAAAGAAAGTACTCATTTGTGTTTGATCTTAGTAATTGAAAACTCAATCACTAAATAAAAAAATATTTAGATGATCACAGTTCCTTTAATTTACTCATTGTACAGAAATAAAAGAAATTAAATGAAAGATAAATTAACGCTGAAAGAAAAAACAGCATGGACCCACATTGAGGTCCAAAATAGTATTTCTTTAAATTAAAGTTTCAATAAAGGAAGTTTAAATAAACATTTTTAGTTATGACAAAAGTACTATTTTGTTTCGTCGGAAAAATTACCTTTCACAATATTTCAAAGAAGATAAATACATTTAAAAAAGATACATTTCTTTTAATTCAACGTGAGCTTTTATATGCTTTTCTTGTGGGGAGGAGGGAATAGTTTTATTGCTTTTATAGAAGTTGAACA